GTTAAGCTCGTGCTTCTCCATTGCCACAGAAAACTGGCCTTCCTGTAGCATCCAGCAGGCTGAAACTCAAGTAACATGTTAAAGGGGCATACTGGGAGGAGGGCCGAAGGGAAGCCAAGTCCAGAATCACAGAATGTTAGTCCAGAAGTAGACTAGAAGCTACTCTTACCTTAGACAACTGTAAAACACTCAAAAGCTCCACATATACATAAGAGAGGAAAACACGATGCAGAGCTACTTTTTTTTGTCTACAAAATGAAATAATCACAGAGAACAAAACATCTGGGAAAGAAGAAGGAATTGTGCTAGCAGACATAAGCATCACATTATCAGAATTCCTGGATACTGATCTGGATACCAAAAATAGCTTGCAAAATCAGCTGTGTGTGCAGAAAACCGTGCAAGAACATCAGGCTACTCTTCCAGGTCTCGGCTGAGGCACAGACACAGCAGCTCTCCTCCCAAAGTACCACTGCACTGGGAGGTCAATAAAACTCCGGGGGCATAACGTACTAATCACACGTGGGACCAGGAACCCAGGCATGCTTTGTGGAACTAAGGTAACTCCATCGAGAGGGAAGCAGGTTAAAAGCCAGATAATGTATATATCTTGAGGAGCACATCCGGCTCTGCAAGATCAACAATAAAAAATATCCTTGGCCTTGCCCTGCAGCAGATGACATTTGCTTGTCACACAGGAGCAGAATCCTTGGACAGTAAGAGAATTTCAGACATTTCAAGTCTTACCCATCAGATGTGTGGGTTCTTTTACAGCAACAATCCCCTGCACACCGTAGGTCTCGATGATGCTTGTGCATCAAATTTACGTTGGGAAGCTGGTACCAAGCTGCTATTATTCAGGGCCATCGCTCAGAAAAAACCCACATCGCTGCTTGCTAGAAGTTCTAATAGCCTAACAGCATAACTGAGGGACATTTGACTATTTTTTGTAAATGCAAAGCTGTACATCAGTTCTGAATTTAAAATTATGTGCATTGTTCCTGGATAGGGAGATTTGCCCTATTTCTCTGCACAAAATTTCTTAAAAAGGCATCCCCTCAGTAAATACATACAGCATTTTATGACAAGCCACAGCTAGGAACATGGGAAGCTCTCTGCCCAGCACCGAAGACCAGTCATCTCTCAGGGACAGAAAAGCTCTGCTGGCAAGCACTACAGCAGGGCTGGAGGTGACTGACCTAACAGCAGAAGCCTTCTCTACAAGGGAGATGCTAGCTGCAACCAAAACTCTCAGAGAAACACGGGTGTTCAATGAAACCTGCCCTTCACTGTTTTCAAATTTTGGCTAAGGAGGCTCAGCAATAACTTCCCTTCCTGGCTGCTCACTCCAGTTCAAATCCAATCCAGGACAACACCAGCCAACACTCCAAGTTTTCAGGAGTCCAATCTCCCGGAAATAGCTCAAAGATGGCCTCTCCAATTCCTAATTGCCTGGTTTTGGAAAATACCCTCCAGTCCACTGAGTATTCAAGAGTATGAAAAACACACAACATAAGGAAATTACAAGTTATATGAGTAGCTTCACTTACATTACGCTTTCAGGCTGGGAAAACAGCATAGTTGACTATGCTACTACTAGTTCAGCCTATGAAGTGAAAAATCTGATAAGTACCCCAGAGAGAAGCAGAGATGGAAGATTTTCTGGAAGAGTGTCAAGACTTGCAAATGGAATTGTAACCCATGCCCAGTGTTGCTAGGCTATGGTTCAGTTACCACTGAGATTGAGCTTGTTTACTCCAAAGCAAAAAGCTTGGCATGACTGACAGAAACAGCTCTTCTTGCCAGGGCTCTAATAGCAAATGTCTGTGAAAAAGCCGCTTGGAGAAGCGCTGTTTACTTTGGTAATGAAGCAAGTTCCCTGGAATGAAGTCTTGCAATCTTCCCAAGAGATGTTGCAATACAGGTACCTGTACCTCAGCTACAGAGCATAAGAGGCTGCTCTCAGTCTGACAACTCCTTGGCTAACTCAGGAGGTCAAGGCAAACCCACCTCGGCTCCTCTGGACACAGCCCCACTCAGTACTCCTACATAGGGTACACAACCCGCGTCCTCATTAAAACCAATTGTCTTGTTCTTCTCTTCTCACCTTGAAGCTAAGCCACAGCCAGCAAAGCTCTTAAAAATGCTTTTAAGAAAACAGCCCCAAAACAAGATCCTCAAGTGTCTTCCATTTAACTTTGGATTTTAAGTCAAACTCACCCCCTTGACACTCATTTTTTCAGGCAATTCTCAACTTAAACAAGAGCTCAATACTAGAAACCTTTAGAGCTAACATCAGCACTCAGTTGGACTAATAACCACTCGGGGAGGAAAAGAAATGCAAGGTAGGCCACGGAGGCCATGGCTACCTTTCTGTTTACAGAGTCACAGGCCTGAGGCTATTGTGCTTTTCCTCATTTAAAGAGAGTTTCCAGCTGCTCTCCAAATTCTCTCTGACCACACAGAGATGAAAGGCTCTCCCCTATTCAGTATTCCCAGCTCTCAAGTCAAGTGCAAAGGGCTATTTCTTTGCTCAAACGTCAAGTATTTACTTCCAAGGAGGTGGCTCACTTGACCCCTCCCTCATCTAGTAACTAAAAGATTCCTTCATAGTTCAAGTAAAGGGACTTCCTACTGAAGCAAGTACTCACATTGGTGTATTTTGTTTACAAACAACTTTCTCGTGAGAGCACCAAGCTCATCCTTCACACACAGCTGTACTTCTACACAGCTGTACTTGGTGCCCAAGTGTTGAAATTGCTGCTTTGAAGAGAAACCACACTTTAATTTCAAGTGTTTAGATGTACTCCCGAAAGCAAGAAAAAAAATCTTACCATGATTAGGTTATGTAAAAAGTTTAATTATAAAATAAATAAGTTTGTTATGGAAACATTAAATATTAAATACAGTAATAAATATTTACACATTTACAGATATGACTTGACAATTAATGGTGTTTCTCTGCTACCAGAAGAATTCTGCTGTTTATAGAGAACACATTCACTCTCCCAAGAAGAAACTGAACTCAATTAATACTCTGTGCTCAAGACTGCACAGACTGTTCAAGAAACCAAGGACACTTGGGTCAGAAAAGTTTGAGGTAAGTCGAGTTCTTCGCACCGGAAGGTAGAGCACAAGAGACCACTGCTTGCAGACTGTCAGTGCATGAATTTAATTCTTCAAAGGAACAGGTTCTTGGTCAAGTTCAACTGACTGGATCTTACGTGAAGCATTTCATACTTGAAGCGCTGTTAAAGCAGCATCGAGTATCTGGGTAACAGAAGTAGTTTTGTGCTCATAACAGATGGGTCCACACTTAATGGCTTGTTTGAGCACCGACCTTGTCATTCAGATCTTCCATCTACAGTCTCAGCATCCCGAAGAGACTAATTTTAACTCAGGCTCCCCCACACACAAATGGACAGCTCCACTCACACCACCATACCGAACTCAGTTGCACTGATCTCAGAGGAATTACTTTCCACACACACAGGAACAGAACGCAGGTGCAGCTGACAAAGATCTGTCACCAACGCCCTGCAAGTCAGAACTAGAGATCAAGTGCTTTGAAATTCATATCAACAGGGAGCACAGTGACAGCAGAATTAGGTTCTTCATCCACCGAGGTCTAGGGAGAGAAGCCATCCAGAGCTCTTCCCTTTTTTACGCTGGGAGAGGGAAGGAAATCATCTGCCCTCCATCCATTCCTGAAAGCTGAGACAAGCTCTCTCCCTTTGAGCTAGAGCTGCCAAAGGAGAAGAAAGTCCATCCACACCAAAGCAGAGACTGAAGCTCCAGCACTGAGAGAAAGGGCTCAGTAGCAGTAGTCTCTAGCAGGTCCTCTACCCATAGCGGCAGCTCCTTCCACATCACTGTGCCAAGTTGTAGCAGTAACTGTCCTCTTCAGCAAGCAATTCAGCAGCAAGGGGCATGTTGACATCTCCTTGCAGCAGCCTCTGTCTTGATGAATCGGAGCTTAACGGCAACAGCTCCAGCCCACAGTGTCCAGGTGGATATGTCAGGTAGGCAGAGGTACCCTGCAGCTTGGCAGTGGCCACATCAGAATTGTTCTGTAAGGGGCAGACCATGCACATTAATCATCACCCAAGATATGAGCACTTGGTTAGAACCATGTCAAAGCTATATCTGAGGCAGGGAGGTTAAGGACGGGCACACACCTGAAGACACTCTGCTAGATATTCTTCAGCTGCAAATAAGCAACACTGCAACTGTCACTGGAGAGAGCTGGACCAAGTCTGTAGCTGACTGCTAATAAAGGCAACACTTGTGAGCTGTCAGAACTTCTCAGGACTATTCTTCATTGTTTACTCCTCCAGCTTGGGGAATAACTCCTACTCAGTAAGGGTCCTAGAGTCTGCTGTTACGTACACTCTTGCTCAGAAGATATCAACTTGCTCGCTCACTGGAAGCCACTAGATTTGTTGCTGGAGTGATCCACCTAGGCCAAGGAACTCTGGCACTCAGTTGCTACTCGGCTGAGAGGCTGTCTGTGGTGCTCACAGAACAGGCAGCTTAGTCTTGCTCTACAGCCACCAAGCACCTGAAACTTTCTGATGCCTTGCAGGGAACACATGAAAATGCTCAATACTTGTCTTATGAAAGCTGATGATTCAGTTGGCTGGTGCATCACCTTCCGCAATGGACATCTACCATCGTCTATTGCACTAAACCTGCCCACATAACATTGTTTTCTTTCTTCGTAAGTCCACCTCCCTCAGTACAGTTTCCTACCCCTACCTTTTTCTTTAAGACAGCATCCAGAAAGTTAAGAGAGATGATGAAGAACTAGCACAACTTGAGCAGTTCTGGGAAATCAGAAACTGGTCTTTCACACATCAGCTATGTGTTTGAAGGTGCTTTACACGTTAAAAGCGAACACTAGCTTAACAAAACACACACGCCATTCTCATGTGGACAATGCCAGCTCAAAAGGACTGAAAGTCAGTTCAAGTCACCATTCATACCTGTTTTCTCCTCATTTACACACCAACATGGCCATTTCTGTTTTCTTGTCGAAGTTTTTTCCGTTCTTCTTTCTCGTCATACTGAGGACACTTTTTCCTGACCCTGTGGGATTAGGGCATGTTAGAGGTCATTCTGAACCCTGATGTACATCCTGTTGCTATCAGCCCCCACACCCTCTGCAGCAATTAGGTTCCTGAATCTGAATGCTCCTCGACAAACTCCTCAGCACCAGGAAGCTTCAAGTCAAACCATTTTCAAACAATCAGCATCAAGCACTACCTACACTACTACTACAAAATCAAGAAGCCCCCTCCCCGAGTCAGGCACAGGCAGTTTTGCCTCAGACCCAGGGCTTCTTGTCTTAAGTCCAACATGTATCAGGTTGATGACGATGATATATTGTTGGAACTGCGCAAAGCACTAGCAGGCTTTCTGCAATACAGGTTTCCCGGTAGCTTTAGCAAGCATCTACAGAGATCAGACCGTCTTCCTCCTCCCCACAGCACAGTCCTGTGGACTTCAAATATTTCAAGTCCCTGTCACGTTGAACACATTTTAAGCAAGCTGCTTACTCCTCCTAATTTCTCCAGACTTCTCTAGTGAGTGCTCCAAACACAACATGCAGCTTCTCTACATGCAGATACAGATCAAACACATGCTTAAAGCTTATGACAATTCAGAGCATGAAACAAATGCAGCGCTGTTCCACATCTTGCTCCAGAAACCAGCTATGATCACTTGCTCTTGCAGCACTACAGAACTAGTTGTCTCTTCTAGCAGCAAGGAATGAGGCAGTGTTCAGAGAACAAGTACTCATTCCAAGATTCCTCAAGTTTAGATCTCAATATGAAGCAACAGTGAAATGACAAATGCACACCTTGCTTCCTGAACTGCAGAAAAGGGTACAGCACGTACCCATAGTTATGTTGGTGTACTTCATCTAAAATTAGACTGAACTTTTGAGCTTCACCTACAACACCCCAAACCCTCCTGAGGTGGAGCTGCAGTGTTGGAACTGGAGGACTGCTCCAACACTCGGGAAACACTTGAGCTAGGCTGCTCATGCTGAGTACCTAGCCTCAGCACAAACTTGTGGCAGACTCACTGGCAAGAAGCAAAGGCACAAGCAGACGTAAGGTGCTGTATACTGCTTTGGAGCAGATAAACACAAGAGTTTGATATGTGCCTTGAAACACGTACCCAGAGAAGCTCTTGTAATTTCTTCACAAGACCCCAGATTCTGATTACCTACCACACTCAACTGCCAGCCGCTTGTGATGCTGGAATGGTTGCTCCCTCCATGTTAACAGCAAGCAGTACAGTACTTGAGACGGACAGTATTTGTCTCCCCATCCACTTCCCCCTCCAGGGTAAATACTGAAGCCCAGCCACCTACACTAATGAAGAGACAGCTGGAGTACCACTTCCTTCCCTCCAGCCACGTACCCAGGTAATAACCCCGCACAAGGCTGCTGCATTAGAGCTCACAGGCTTCTCCACTTGGACTAGGGAAGGTGCTGCTGTGTCAGCATTACTGCTCCTCCTGCGCTTGCTACTGACATTCTGCAGCACTCTAACTATCCCACATGTAGCAAGAGCAGAAAGGCTCTTACTTCAATACAGAAAGGTTATAGGCTGCCCACAGCCAGCAACAAGAGAGCTAAGTGAAGAGTTAGTCGCTTAAGAACTTCTCAGTTCTTTCAGATGCCTTCCACAGAAGGAATTCACACGAGGCCATGCATATTTTTGGCCTACTGGACACAAGCCCTGCTCAAGCTTAAGCTAGACAGACACCCAAGAGTGTAATACTTACTGCACTATCACAATGATAAGTACAGTAATGAAGCTGATGCTTGAGAGCAGGACAGCTATCACTACCAAGACAGTCTTCGAGTAGTCTGCCACATCATTCTTCCTTTGAGTCTTCATGAACTGTTCACCACAGCGCTCACCAAAAAAATCCTGATAACACCTGCAAGCAAACATGAACACAAGTTCTTATCAGCTCCAGTGCTGTCTGGAGCCAAGGACACCCACACACATTCAAACCTGACTTGGACATCTTCAGAGTTTCCCATGAATCTCAAGATGCTCACTTCAGAGCGTGTTCATGAAACACAGTCACTGCTCTAGCACAAGGTTTGTCAGCATTTCAACAAGTCGAGATTAGTTTGGGCGTGATGTTCCAGGAAGACACGCCTTTTCATTCTTTTGGTTCAAGTTTATGACCAACTGATGAGTTCAGTGGCTTGTTATGCATCTCAAATTCCATCACCACTTAATTTACATGGCAGAAAGATTCTCAGTCAAAATACAGCATGAGATGGATCCACGCCAAGTTGACACTGATTTTTCTTCTGAGCCCTCATTTGCCACCAGCTCATGCCAATCACACTGAACCCACAAGGTATAAGTAACTTACTTGCAGGTCACCATCTGGAGATGTTCTAGGTATATGCATTCACCATGGATGCAAAAGTTTTTGTATTCCAATTCACAGGGAGTCCCCTTCTTTTTGTTTTTCCCTTTGTTTTTCTTCCTTCTTGATTTGCCAGCATTCTTCTCCCCCCCCCTCTTTGTTGGCTTGGGTTTAACCACAGGTTCAACTGAAAAAGGGACAAGATGGCTCAGTCTAGCAATGCTAAAAACACCTAGGTATATGAAAATTGAATTACAGAATTTGGTGAAGGGCAGAAAAATACGCAACTGGGAAGCAGAGGATGCAAGTGAGCATGCAGCTGGACATTTCACAGCCTGCACTAAAGCAGCAAGCTTAGAAGCTCATTAAGCAGAGCTCCATCACCATTAACACCTGTGCAACGCAGACCAAAAACAGCACAAGCAGATGAGCCAAGAGAGCCAGCAGGGACTAAGTGCAGCGGAACTGAAAGACTTCAGCATTTCACAGCCTAAGATACTTAAGTGTACAGGTTCAAGCAAAGACCTATTAAGAATATAGGAGCTCACATTGAGCCAAGCCATCCACTAGCTCTCTATCATCTCGGATACAAGGCTAACAGCCTCCATCGCTCTAAACTCTCCATTTGCATCTGTGATGAAAGGCTGACTCGCTAGATAGTCCCAAGCACTTGCTGAGGCAAGAGAGCTTGCTATCCCAGTTTGTGTACTTGTTTCTCCCAAATAACCTGCAGTGCTGTCTTCAGCAGAAGACAGCTCATTTCCAGTTCTCCTACTTTGAGAGAGATGCCTACTGCACCGACGGAGCGCAGGTGGGATAGTCCTCAAAGAGGCATGCTATTTGCTCTGCCACTTACTGCTGCCCCTCATCACCTCAATTAAGATAAACCTCTGTAAGAGTGTGGCCTGAAATGCTGGTGACTTAGTAGCCTTTGGATTTAAGCAAGGACAATCACCACCTTCCTTTCACTGGGGAGAACGAGCTGAAGGCAGTCACTAGTTGAGAGTCGTAAGTTCCATAGCTGCACCACACAGCAGCCGAAGCTTGACAGATCACTGTTTTAGAGTGAGTTGGTAAAACTGTTCCTCTGAAGAAACAATCCCCGCACGCCTAGACGTAAGACAAGCCTTCTTACTGTAGCACCGTGCTACTCAGGAGTAGCAGTTAATCAAGTGACTCTGAACAGGTCTTAAACAGTAGAGCTATTTACAATACTCTTCAATTCCTCTGTTGTGCTCTGCAGAATCACTGGAAATAATTTTTGGAATGTTAATATTTTACAGAGAGCATTACGTATATAAGCAGCCACCACAATAGGATGCAACTGGATTCAACTACTTCATAACCCTGTATTTCTAGCGACAAGAAGAGAGCCTGTACAAAGAAACAAGGTGTAGCTCACTTTTGTCTAGACAGCAGATTGTTTTAACTTCTAGAGCAACAAGCCTGGCTTGAAGTTACTTAAAAGCAAAAACGCCTTCAGCAACCAGAAGTCTGATTCAAATGGTATATACTATATTAATATGTAAACGAAGAACACTGCTCCTGCAGCAAGGTTTCCTGTCCCTAGAAGTATGAGCTTACTGCTGACAGCCAAGACCCCTGTTCTGCCCAGTTTGACTTGATATTTGGGTTCACACTTCCCTAATTGAGGCTGTTACCATGCTTTCCTCTTCAAGGCTCTGCTTGTCAGTTTGATCTCTGTATCCCTGTCTGGAAGCTGCATAGTCAGGAAAGCCATCCGCAGTTGAATCATAACAGCTTGAAAGCTCCACAGATAAACCTCATGCCAAGTAGAAGAGCTGGTCTACGAATCAACCACCTTTGGTAACAATTCTGGTTTCTCTGCAGCTATACAACACTTAAGTCACCCAGCCAGTAGTTTTACAGGCTTGAACTGCTCAACAGCTCCAGCATTCCCATTTCCCCTGGAGGTCTTCAACTCACAGAAAACTTCAGCAAGGATCCACAAATTCCCCAGATCCAGCATCCGGAGCATACTGCCTCTTCACTTATGGAGTCCTTAAATTTCATTCAAGTCTCAGGCTGTTTGCACAAGATAAACAGTAGCCAGATTCACCTTTGAGAGCCACAGCACCAGCGTACTAACACCTACTTTGGGTGAACCTAGGTACCTGGTCTGTATCACCACTGCACTTGAGGTGGAAGAAACAAAATTTTCCCACGGCCATATCCAGGTAGGCTATTCAGATCTCCTCACAGCTTAACAAGTGGGCAAACTACAGTAAATTCACACAACAGATATTAACAGTGAAGTATATTGCCCGAAAGATGCTTAACAAACTCTCCTGCAGCCACTTAAAAGGTTTAAGTGCTTGCTTTCCCAGGAAATTTTCCTTAACTCCAACACAAGCTGTAGTGGGAAAGCACCCAGGAAACCATTGGGGCAAGAGAGACAACTTGAGATAAATATCCCACCCTTGAGGGCCAAAAAGCACCCGTAAGTCCCACTACTGCCTGTGAAAGAGGCGGTAGCTGCTCCACCACAGCCCTCTCCTGTCAGGTTTTTCCAGAAGCAAGTAGAGCAGGCAACCAGCTCGCCTGCCTCTTCCACACACCCTACTCACACCAAGTTCCCATCGACAGCCAATTTTTAACGCAAGTTCCAAGCAGAAGCATGCTTTTGCGATGAGTAAAACACAGCAGCCTTTCGGGAGAAGTAAGCCAGAAAGCAAACGGTGCTCACCGGGAGACCCTCGAAGCCCACAGGCCCACCTCACACCTCTCGACGGCGGCCAACTCACCTCGAATTGTATCATCCACGAGGTACTGGTGGACGGGCAGCGCCTCCTCATACTCCTCATCGTCCTCGTAGTCCGCACCCGGCATGGCGTCCCGCCCGCGGACCTCGTGCTCCCTCTGCCCGGCCTTCTCGGTCTCCGTGCCGTTGGGAGCAGCGGAGGAGGTCGCGGCCGCGGGCCGGTGCGCTGTGAGAGGGAGCAAGATGGCGCCCGTGAGC